CTTTTCATATAGAAGAAAATGTGATGTTTCCGTCAGACGTATGCCATCAAGGCACAATTCTGATTTCTGGAGGTTGTGGTGGTCTCGGCCTCACAATGTCCCGTTGGATGATAGAAGAACGGGGCGTCAAACGCTTGATGCTCATGAGTCGACGAACACTATCTCAACTTGATCAGCTGGATAATTCAGAATACAAAGAATGGTTACGACTACAACGAGCGGCAAAAGAACACGGTGCTCGTCTCGACGTCGTTCAAGCGGATGTCACCAAGTTCGAACATGTACGAGATCTGATCCAAAAACTTGGTCAAACACCCTACCCTATCCGAGGCATCATTCATTGTGCTGCTGTTCAAGAGGATCGTAGTTTGGCGAAACTGACAGAAGAAAATATCACACGCATCAAGAAACCAAAAATTTGTGGTGCTTGGAATCTTCACCGAGCATCACAACTAGCTGGTACTCCACTTCACTTCTTTCTTCTCTTCTCATCGATTCGTAATCACTTGATCGACTTGGGATCGAGCAGCTACAATGCCGGCAACCAGTTTCTAGACATTCTTGCGCAATATCGTGTCAAACAATTACATCTACCTGCTCTCTCGATCAGTTTGCCAGCAGTAAGCGGTGCCGGCATGTTTCATCGGCAACGTGACATGTTAACAAGTTTGCAATGTACAACGGAATTTGAATCGGTACCAACAGTGGCTGTTTTTGAACTCATCGAATGATTCTATGTCGATCAGAATAATTGTCCGTGTCCAATAATATTTGCTGCTAACTGGCAAAAGTTATACGAAAATTATCCAAATTTAGTCACTCATCAACTGCGCAAACTTGTTATAAAGCAATACACCGTCATGAACGATTCTGCAACATCGATATTTTCGTCCACTCGTCCTGATACAACCAGTTTCGTCGACATGTCCTTAGAAATTATTATTCAACGAATACAGATGACCGTTGCTCGACTTCTGACCGCGAAAAATGTTGATGATATATCTGTAGATCGATCACTGATCAGTCTAGGCATGGACTCACTAGCTGTCGTATCATTATACAACTGGTTAGGCCAAGAAACGAACATTTTCATCCCTTTATCAGATCTTCTCAAAGGGATTTCAATACGAGCCATGGCGGAACATGTGCACAGGAAGTTTACCGCAAATAAGCAAACTAATATAGCATCAAATGTTACCGAACGAAAGTCACTTGTTGACTCGATCAAAAAAATGATACCGAACGCTTCAACAGCTTGCTTCGCACTGGCATAGACAATGTTATATGCCTTCGGCGTCCTATACATTACAATAGTCCTATTATCTTCTACATATCAACGGTATCCACAAATGGCAACACCAATTTATCGGAGGCTCTTTTGGATAAATTGTCTAAAAAATATAGTCATGTATCATCAGTCGCCATCTACGCTTTTCAAATGCCACGAATTTTGTTGAGCATTGATGTGGTGACAACTGCTCGTGACATGATTTCTCAAATGCGTCGTATCCAACCACAGGGATTCTATATGTTGCTGGCGACTCGTGGTGATCAAGGAGAAATCGTCGCTTGTGAGATGATTCAACAGCTCAAAAAGTATACGGCCGTTTCCGATATTCAACTACAATTTCTAAATTAACACACATGAGACATTAAAGGTCCCCGAATTCGGGTTAACCATTTTAAAATTCAAAGCGTGCATGATAGTCAATCCAAAAAATCTTTAGACAACTGAAAGGTATCGAGGTTGTATTTTGCCGTTATTGATTTTTGAATTTGAAACACAACTGTGTGACGAAAGTGTTTGTTTCACGTGAGTCCTTGAATGTTTTCTCGGTAATTCCTGAAAAAGTTACATGTCCTGTATAATGTCTTTGATGATGCGATCTATGTTTCTCCCTTCTACTTTTTTCTTCGGTCGGTTGACTTGAAGAAAGTGATTTGGTCAAAGATTAGATTTTTCGTGCCAAATGATCAACGAAACTGTAAAATATAATCACATTTAATCACTAAGTATTATATCTCTTATCTTCCACTTGCGCCACATTTCATAGGCAGTAATAGAAAAAAAACTGAAGCGCTTGTCCGGTAGCATCTGGTACTCTCAATGAGCTTATCAAACACTAGTTTATATGTAGTGGATTGAGATCAAATTGGAACGAAGAATCCCTTGTTTCGACACCAACAAGTAAAACCTAGAATCCTTCTAAAAACTATCCACAAGATTTCCTATTGAATTTGCGCTTTGAACTCACAGTAACGTATTTGATATTCGTATAACGGCTAAAATTTCGGCATCGATCGTTCTCTATGTGCTTTAGTTAAGGACTCTGCAGCTATTTGTGTGTATATTTTAACGTGTGTATTTTCAAAGCATGCCTATTTTGTTCCATGATAATCTATCTCTCCGTTCGTTCATTTTTGATAATATAATCACATTAATTCTTAATTTCTTATACTTTTCTTACTGTAGATTATATCAATTTACTCATTTATTCTTCAATATAAAATACGAAGATTCCTATTCATCTATCGATATAGTATTATGAATTTGATTCGGAATCGACGAGCAGCGACAACGCGCGTAAATGAGCCTCCAAAGCTGGTGGTTTCAGGACAATTGCAGGCTTCGGCTTCATTTGCTCAACAACGTATTTGGCTTCATGAACAGCTTTATTTCAATCATCAGTCATCTTCGTTGGCCATTTACAATATTCTTGTACCCTTACAGATCAAGCAGGGTTCGTTGTCAGTGGAACGTATTCGACTGGCTCTACTCTCTGTGCTTGATCAGCATATGATTCTTCGAACATCTATTCGTTTCAATGAGACAAGTGGTCAGCTCGAGCAACAAGTGCAACCACTTAGCCACGATCTTTATTCATTTGAACATACTCTGGGCATAGATTCTCCAGAACAGCTAGAAGCAATGCTGACGGCTGAGTCAGTGACTAACCATTTTAATTTGAACCAAGGTAAAGTACTACGCTGCCACTTAATGCAAATTAGGAAAGATGGTGATGATGATATGCTTCATAAGGAAGATCTACTTGTTTTTTCAATTCACCACATTGCATTTGACATCGGTTCGATTCGACCATTTATTATGACTTTTACTGAAGCATGCAGGGAAAATCAATTCAGTCATGCTATCAATAAGATGACACAATACATTGACTTCGCACTCTACGAACGATCTCTACTCAAAGATCCGAGCAGCGATCGTGCTCGCCATTTCTGGGCAAAACTACTTCATGGCTACAATTGGAGCAACACATTTCTACAGTCTGTTGCCTGTCCACAGGTACACAATGAGACACGCTCGGGACGAGGCTATTCGGCAGCATTTACCCTTAATCCACATATAGTTCAAGCACAGATGGATTTTGCTTCATCTCACAACATAACTATGTTTCAGTTATGCCTTGCATGTTATTATCTATTCATGTATAAACTAGGAGCCGGAGAGGACCTCTGTATCATAAGCGTGATAGATAATCGTCGCCTCTTCCAAAACAAATCCATGGTTGGCATGTTTGTCAATTTGATACCCTATCGAATCCAAATTAATCCGAACGATTCATTTAGTAATTTTGTCTTACAAGTCCAAAGATTGTGTTTGTCGACCAGCGAATATACTCATATACCATATCAACACATGATTAATCTTCAAGATAACAAACAACATCTAATGCCTCAGGCATTTTTTTTATACGAATCACTCATGTCTTCCATTAAGTACAGCAGTACACTTGAATTCCCTGTGGACGATGAAAACGACACTATTTTGGTTTTACACAACGATCGGGATCGGTCTCACGACAATGGTGTCGCTTTATTTGACTTTACACTAACCATGTCACATAGCCATCACGACAAAAGTACTCATTGCTTTCTGGAATGTTCAGCCGATCTTTTCGACGGTCCCATATTCCTACAAAAGCTGGCCGATCGCTTTCAGCGCATGCTTGAACAACTATTTGTAGAACAAAATCTTGATGTTGCCACACATCCAATCAATCATCTATCGGTGCTACTTCCAACTGAAAGTAACGAAATTCAATCAACCAC